CTGAGATACCAGAGTAAAGGGAGAACAAAATTAGCTGCATCCTTTTAATGTAAGGAATGTTCAGTGAAAGGCAAAACAACCTAAGATAGGATTATTCCTCATATCTGATGTCATGCTGGCTGGCACGCTGTGCCTTATTTACAGATATAGGCCAGGAACTGTACTTTCTGTGTTGAAGAATGTGATAGAATTAAAACACTTAGTGTTTGGGGTTTTTTTTTGTTTATTTTTTATGGATGTGCTTGGAAATAACTTCTTCACATAACTGGAAATGCAAAGAAATCTGTAGCTGCTCTGTGTTTGAAGGTGTGACATGGAAGCTGGCCTGTACTTCTCAGACTTTCACTGCTCTTGTTCTGTGTTTCTGCCTTTCTATGGATGAGAGAATAATGGATTGCTTCAGCACCCTGAGTAAGTATCTTTCGATGAAAAGTGCACTTGGCTGAGGAGCGTGGAAGCTGTGATTGCTGTTGAGGCTTCAAGAGCAGGCAGAGGCTGGGCCCACCAGGTGGTCAGCAGGGAGAGCTGAGCGAGTTTAGTCTTGGAGACGTTCAATGCCAGCAATACAGAGATCAATGGAAGTCAAATTATCCTGCTGAGAAACAGTAGAGGCAGATTGTCATTTTCTCCTTCTCCCTTCCATGCAAATACTTGTGCAGCTGTCAAATTTATTTGCTAAAATCAAGGTATAGACGAGCATGATGCTTGTCACCCCTGTCCTTGTTGGCTCTCCCATGGAGAGTTTGGGCTCGGAGAACAACCAGGAGCGTGTCTGGAGCTGGGAAATGAAATTCCTGTCTGTTGCCATGCTGATTTGACTTACTGTTTCAGATGAAAATTTCTCTAATATTTACCTGACAACAGTACCTACACTCAAGCTCTTCGGAATAAATAGTACTGAAAAGGCCACCTCAGGGTGGTGCTGAGGGATGTATCTTGCTCCTTCACAGCGCTGCCACTGGATACTGTACAGTTGTTCAGAGGAACTTTGGTGGAGCAAAAGCTAAATATGCTAATATGAGAATATGTATACTTTATTCTGAGACTGTTCCCTTTAGTAATTTTAATGTTTTGCTTACCTAAGAAGATATCAGTATTTGAAAAATTGTTAGTGTAAGAACGTGACTCTGAATTCAATATTCAGTCCAAATCATATCTTGCTTTAAAAACTTGTTTTTAACAATTTTTTTAACATATTCTGGGAAGTGACAGCACGTATGCATATATAATTATGCATGTAAGTAGGTTATAGCCTTGCTTACTAAAATAAGTCAAAAGAAAAGGAATAATATTGCAGGTACATTTTTTCTTTGTCTTTAATGAGAACTTGCATGGTTTGGAAAATGTATTAAGAAATGTCCTACAAAATAATTCTTCCTAATTATTTTTCTGTAACTCAGCTTGAAGACAATGTCACTGGATGTTATGCTGCCATTAGAACACATGTACATTTTACACCTTGTGCCTCCAGGAAAAAGAGTTAACCTTCAAAGTATGCTGTTCAACATTAGACCACTCAAACTTCCTGTCTACTGGGCTCGTAGAGTGAATCTGCAAAGACATTACTGAATGGATCAAAAGTCGTAATTTTTTGTTCAAGCCTGAAGCAGCACTGTGCAATGCTGAAACTTGTAACTGAAAGTAGCTGAGTAATAATCTACAGCAAGGCTCTGTTTTGTTAAAGTTTGCCAGAATTTGCCAGAGCGGGCCAGCAAACAGGCCATGAGAGCTGAAGTTCTTCCCTTTAGCACTGGTTGGTGCTGTGGTTTATAACACAGTCCTTGGCCCCAAATTTCTGCTGGGCTAGAAGCAGGTGCAGGTGGGAATCAGTCATTCCTAAATTTCAGAATTACACTCCATTGTTTATGTGATGTCTAGAGGCATAAATAATCAGCTGAAATACTTTCTCCAACCAGTAAAATGTATGCCTTTTGTTGCTGAAATATATTAAGACACTTTTCTGGTATGTGGAAAGTCTGACATCTGGGTTCAATTCTTGCTTCAAACCTGGCAAAATGCGGGCTGAACTCAGACTGCACTGAAGAGTGTAACATTCTGTGTTGTTATGCAGTATAGCCAGGATTTTTCTTGAAAAGCTGTAATTCGGCATAGATGATTCTTTGCAAGAGAAAAATCCCAAATGACAAAGATGCTCTGGTGCAGAACTGCATGCTTTATGAAGCTGTTGTAGTCTTGTGTGCTGCTTGTGCCTCACAGATCTCTCTGCTTTTCATCAGCTGAAGACGGTAGGCACTAGGGTATAACAGTTGTGGTGTTTCTCAGTTGAGCACCTCAGTAATGATGCTAAGCTTGATTCTAAATAAAATAATTTTTGCAACCTGTTTCTAGGTTTAAAGAACTATCAGTTGAATTGGCACTTTCAATGTTGGCAGGTAAATGGCTTCTACAGTTAGAGATGTTTAGGATCTTCATTATGTTGTGTGTAGATGCTTCAGTGGTACAGCGAGGCACCATATGAAAAATGAAGCTGTAAGTTTTTCTGCAGTACTTCAATCTTAAGAATATAAGCAAGATCTGCTGTGGGAGGACAGTATTAAGTTGCTTTGGTGTTTGTACATGACATTCATGAACATGGGGGAAGCAGCTGAGTGACCTTTGTTCTGGGCTGAAATCATGTGCAGACCTAGTTGGAATAAATTATCTTAGCTCCATTAGAGTTGCAACACTGTAACAATTTACACCAGTTGAGCCTTTTTAAGAGTCCTTCAGATTTTTATCAGGTTCTTTTTAAACTTTACTGAAATAGACCACTTCCGCTCAAACTGTTCTGCGCTGTGTGCCCAGCCTAGCAGTTAGCAATATGTGGAACAACTTTGTGCAGAGTTAATCCCGCATGTTCAGCGGCTGAAGGCGTTTGGGCAAGGAGCACTGCGGCAGGGGTTTCTGTGCAGCGGCCCCTGTGACCAAGGGGCACCGGGCCTGCACCGGCCCTGAGCTGCTGCTGCCCAGCTGGGCAGCACTGGGGGAAGATTAAAATAGGGGTTTAGATTTCATCCTGGTGAAAACTGTTCTGCATGACATTATCTGTCACGGGGCTGTCTTCTGTGCTTTCGTTCTCGGCACGGAGCAAGAGACAGTTACGTTTTTGAAGAAAGAGTTATTGAGTGCCGGGGGCCTGAGGGCACCGCCAGGTCTGACTGTCCCTGCCTGCAGCCTCCCCTAACGCTGCCCACGGCCCAGCCTGGCCTCAGCCTGTCCCTTTGCCCACGGCCCTGCCCGGCCGCGGGGCTGTGTCTGACCCCGGTTCCCCTCACAGGGCCTGATTCTCACCCCCACCTTCAGGCCCAGGTCACCGGGGAGGTACCCGTTGCTCGGGGCTGGTGCTGCCAGCCTGCTGCCCTGCTGCTCTTGGTGCAGCAGGACAGGCCATGGCTGACAGGCTCCGGGGAGCCCTATGGTGTGTGGTGCCCTAGCAGCAATGTAGGCCTTGGTGCACTCTTACCTCCTCCTCCTCATGCATCCTACAGCACTGCTAACTCAGAGCCATCCGCTCACCCCAGCGTGCTGCATGAGGAGGCTGCTGCATACACGTGCTTCAGAGTCCACGCAGCCTGTGAGTAATGCGATCTGTTACTGCAGATTTTCTCTTTAAATCAAACCACTATGTGCAAAAGAAAAACACCAAGAGATGGGCTGTCGAAAAAGACGCATATTTACAAAAGTGCAGAGGTGTCCAGAGCACCTCTGTTATGAGGGAGGAAAATATGAATGCAAAAAAGCCACGTGTCTTGTGGATGAAGTAGTTCATTCACATTGTTAACAAATTGCAGTTAGAGGGAAACTACGTAAGTCCAGAAGTAGGTGTTTTAGAGTTATTCACATTTTAAAAACACATTTACAGTAAATTTGTGTAACTGCATTAGGGCTTTGTGGTTGATGCATCTCTCTTTGACTTGGCAGAGGATGCATTGAAAGGAGGGGCACCTGCATGGGTTTTGTCCATGATGATGGCTGAGCAGCATCAGACTAGGACACACAACGTCATTCCTGCAAATCTTCAGGATTTTCGAGGTTTGACTTTAATTAGCAGGCCAAACAGGATATATTTGAACAACATCTGTGCATTTTAGGTAGTAAAACACATTTTGAAAGTGCTCATCCCTCAGTTCTGTGTCTTGCCATAGACTGAGAAACATTTTTATGTGGGTTTTGGTACCATTGTTTTGGTTGTGGCTGATGATTTGATGATGTTTCTTTTAGCAATGTCATTGTCTCATATTAGGAAATTGGCAGCTGCAAGAAAATTAGAGCATTTTTCGCAGTACGCTCTTCATACTGTGTTGATATCCTCAAGGGGTTTGTCTCTCAGGAAGAAAGTGTGTAGCTGTTATGCAGATAGAAACAAACAAATGGTTGAAAAACAGGAGTGAGAGAAGGATGTCCAAATAGATATGCAAAATTTTTGGAAGAAACCTCAGTGATAGTCATCTCTAATCTGAAATTTGCAACATTTGGTGGGTAGAGATGAAGGCAGGACAAGATCTAGGTTGCAAAGGTAGCAACAACCATCCTATATCCCAACCATTGCCCGCTAACTCTGTGTAGTATGGTACCAAACTAAAATGGTATTGCAGCAGCAGTACTTAATTTGATAATCCTAGTTATTAAAGCAAATGCTTTCTGTAAAACACAATCGCTATTGCAGACACTGCCATAGTTTTCTAAGTTGCAAGAATGAGACTTTTAGGGCTAAGGAAAAAGGAACTCAACAGTGAACTGAGGTTATGTGGAACAACACTCTGCAGAGCTGTTCACTAGAAAGTAAGACCAGAGCCTAATCAAAGCTCCCTGAATGCCACTTGGGTAGACCTAAAATGGTAGATGAATTTACAACTGTTGCTTAAATTCATTATGTGGAAAAAACAAATTCCATAGAACTACTGAACAGCTGTGGTGCTTTCAAAACACTCAAGTGTCCGTTGAAGCTGGACTATTCAGGCTGTGGCATGTTTCATGCCGAGGAGGAAGAATGGGGCAGTTCATATCTTGTTCTCCTGCCATCCGTGGGCATTCTTTCCAAACTTGTACACCAGTCTTTTGTCCACTCGTTCCAAAATGCCAGTTTTATAATAGTAACTGCAGGAGGGAAAAGAAAAGAAAACAATGGAGAAAGTAGTAGTAAAAGTTACATTAGAGGATTTGTTTACATGGACTTTGTGGCTGGAGAACAGCACATGAGTCTTTGCATTCATTGCAGTGAGAGAGCTCCTTTCTTTCTGTTAAATTGCCGTTGTGACTTTTAAGAGTTTTAAACATGCCCCCGTGCCTTGGAGTATGCCTTCTGCTGTTTGAAAGACACAGAATTACAAAGAAATGTGTTTTTTGTTTGGTTGTATTTTTTCCCTAAGACTACTACTTTTGGAAAAATCAGCAGAGTTACTGCTAAAGCAAGAAGGGTGATTTTGTGGGGGTCATATGGGAAACATAGACTAAAATTCTCAACTCAGGTAAAGTGCGATAGATTTGTTGTCATCAGTAGAGTTGCAACTCTGTACCACTTTCCATTTAGCCCTATGATATTGTTTAGAAACAGAGGAGACTGGGTGCTATCTCATGACCTGCAGAAAAAACATGAAGAAAATAACCAGACACCCTGCCGTCTACCCCTTCCTCCCTCTCCCACTGAATTTTCGGGACAGTTATGAACAATGGATGCTGAGATAGAAGTCAACTGAAATGAGGGGCCCTGTTGCCCATTAACTCACCGGAGAGCTCTGCTCAATTTTTCATATGTCATGCTGTCATTTTTCTTCTTTTGTCCCCACATCTTTGCCAGAGCTTCTGATTTAACAACCCGAAAAATGCCTTGTTCCCTGTCTTCCCATTCCAGGATGCCACAGTTTTCTTCAGGAGAGAGGAGCAGATCTCTTACAAATTCCCACAAATGAGAATTCTGCAAGTCTTGAACAGGAAGAAGACAGATATTTAGTAGATGTTTCTTACTCATGCCAAAGTACTAAGGCAGAATTATATTTACAGTACTTTTTTTAATCAGCTTGTCAACCTCAAAAACAAATTGCACGTATCTCAATTTAAATTTCAAAATTTTAGTGTATTGCCTCTCTGCAACTGGCTTCAAATTACTTGCTCCACAAAAAAATCAGTGTCATTCAAACACCTTTGATACTAGAATCTGGTGATTTTTTACTCCAGAAACTAGTGAATTTTACTGTCTTGAAAAGTTTATGTCACTCATAGCTTCTGTTCCACAGATCATCAATGACTTCAATACAGTTTAACTTCATGTTTTAAAAGCAGTTTTCAAATTCATAGTATGAGGAGTTGCAAGGCCTATTTCCCAGCATTTCTAGAGACTCCTCTGTTATTTCAAGTCAGTTCAAAATTTTGTTTGATCCTCAGATGTGCTATAAATAATGAGACTCTACTAAAAAAGCCGGTAGAGCTGTTGTATGCAGCTATTGCCTTAACTTCAGATTAGTTAATAGCTCAGTGTTGGGGGTTAAACGAATGTTCAGTCCCAACACTGACTGCAAGCATTTAAATATCATGAGTCAGACCCCAAAAAAGTCCTGAGAGCAAGATAAGAATAACAACGATTATAAAAAAATCTGAGGGTTCTTATTTGGTTTTCTGCATTTAGACCCTTTAGGTTATTTTCAGCGTATGTTTTTCCAGTAATGCTGCCACTAACGTAGCTAGAACCACTTTAAAAAGGTAAACAGAAAAGGAAACATGGCTTTAAGAAAAATGCCAAGTATCTCAAATCTCATGATAAAATCATGAGAGCTGGTAGTACTTAAAAGTTAAACCTCAGTGAAATTTTATTCGTTTGTGGTATCATTAGTTCCATTTCATAACAGTGTGGAGCTGGAGAATTAGAGCAACATAACCTGTATATTCGTAACTCCAGTTTTGAGTTTCTGATTTGTACTTATTCTACCATGACTGTGACATTCTTGGCCACTGATGCTACCTGCCCTCACACATGCCTTAACACAGGCTGGGACTGAACTGCAGAATAACGTGAGAAGTGAAGAAGGAACTCCTGAGTCTGGTGGCAACTCAGTCAAAAGGTTACTTATTCAAATGCCATGCAACGTTAAGTCAATGTGTGACTGCAAGCTGCTAACTTTATCTCTTCAGTAAATCTCTATCACAAAGGTAAACCCAAGTGAATAATTAACATGCAACTGTACGGATTGCAGCACAACAAAACATTAAATTTTTGTCAGTGCTCAATTGAAAACACTGGGATTGTGTAGACATGCGAAATTTGGTGCGTGGTGCGGGTGGATGAAATGTACCCTCCATGACGTGCAGTCTGAAGATTTCTTGGCTTAGTGCTGTGCAGTGCTTCTAAAAAGTCAAAACTGCCTCAACCGACAACATACTTGCACAAGTGACCAAGTGTCTGTCTCCATATTGTAGTGGTGCAGAGAGAATTTAGAAGAGGATAATGAATGATTGCAACTGGAAGGATTATCAAAGTCTGCTAACAACGCTCGCAATCATAGAAGGGTTTGGGTTGCAAGGGACCTTTAAAGGTCGTCTTGTTCAACCCCCCTGCAACGTGCTGAGACAGCTTCTACTAGATCAGGTTGCCAGAGCCCCGTCTAACCTGGCCTTGAATGTTTCCATAGGTCGGGTATCTACCACCTCTCTGGGCAACCTGTTCCAGTGTTTGGCTGCTCTAGTGGTTACAAAAAATTGTATCTGTTTGGTACACACCTAGCAAGAATGATGAAATCCTGTGAGAGTGGCTACAAAGTGAAGACCCACAAACCCATTTAACTGGGTAAATAGCAGTGGGCTAAAAGTAATAAAATAAGGGCACTTCTGTGAAGATGAGCTGCAGTTTTATATTCTTATATTGCACTGTGTTTATAGTTCTAAGAGCTGACCTCCAAGAGTTTATTTTGCTGCATGTGAAACCATAATATTCACAAAAAGACGGAAGTAAGATGTCTACGTAAATGCAGAGCTCTCTGAAGGGCTTATGCTTTCAGTTATGAAGGTTCCTTAGCTTATTCAGTCTACTGCAGGCCCAAGAGAGCAGTGGCTGGAATTGCTAAAACAGTATTCTGGTATATTTTTTTCCCTATTGCTTCTTTTCACTGGGTTCTTTCATGTCAATGGGTTTGTTCAGTATTCTTTCGTTGGCTGAAGGGTTTGACCAAGGGAGTGTCCCACATTGCCTAAATCCTGATGTGGAATGCAGGTAAATCCAGCCAGAAGCACTAATACCCCAGAGCTGATTGGGAGTTAGTAGGTTATTAGAGCTGGTTGTGATCAGAACCGAGTGATTACAGAATACTCTAACTGCGCTTAGACGAAGTCAGACACCTGATATTTTGCGAGCTTTACCCATTTGCCTTCTCAGCAGATAAATAGCAGGCTCGACCATGTTTAGGCTCGACAGGATCTGTATTTCTGACTGTATGCTGGATGACCAGCTGTACAGCATCTTGCAAAAATTTGAAGTATTCTCATGGAAATGAAGCCATGCTTCTGGCCTTTTCGAATCTATGTATAAAGGAACAGCTTTGGTCTGCTCAATGCCTGGCTTGCAGCATCAGTGAATGTACACAGGTTCCTGAGATCCTGCACCCCTTCAAAATACCGATTCAGAAATGTTGGGATCTCTGCTAATCCTTAATTCTCTGTGTACTGCAGGAATTTCAGGAAAATCTTTAGAGAAGAAGTAAATGGCCTGGATTTTTTTATTTTTAGAAAGTTCTTGAACCACTGAATATTGCTAATCTTTGAATATTGTGTTTCCCATTGAATGGAGCTTATTATGTACAAACCAGTTTACTTACAGTCCTTGTTGGAGGGCTTTGTTTCTTCTTCATCAGTAAAAAACGAAAGGGCTAAAAGGGAAAAACATAATGCAGTGTTCAGTTCTTTTCTTCACACGAATAACTTTTGAACTGAAATTTAAAGCCAAGTCATGACCTTCTGCATCATTGCTTGTGAATACAGCTCAGAATAGTAGTTGTAGAAAGCGCAGATTATAAAATGATGAAATAATTTTTCAGCTTTGCTGCTGCTACTAAAACGATTTGTCCCTCCCACTACTCTGACTATGCCTGTGGTTTTTTTTTTAACTTTTGGGTTTTTTTCCTTACCCTTTGCATCATGTCCGTCTGTCTCTGTTCACATGATTCATGTGTACTAAGTTTCCTTTCCCTCTGGTCCCTTTGCATTTCATTTTTGCTATCATCTGTATCACATTTTCTCTCCCTTTCTGTATGTTTAGATTAGTCCTTTCTTATTCAGCCCCTTGTCCATTTAAAACTAGTCCCACAGTGTTCCCTCCCTCCTTCCCCTAAGTAAAAATCATCTCTACTGCTGGAAATCAGATCTTCACAGGACTGGAAACTGGTTGCATTAGTAGGACAGTATCACCTGTGTAAAGGAGTCATGACATTCACAACACATAAATAAATGCCTTGCACACACAGATCTTCACTCAAGGAACTTGAATTAAGTTGTGAGTCTGGTATGCAAAACTGCAAAAAGCTAGAAATAAGCCTGCCTGTGCAGACATAGTTTGTTGTGGCAAGGTCTTTCATTAATGGTCCACCGACTGCCTTTCCTCACAGGCCTTCTGCAATTCATGAAGATGGATATGCATTGTCTGTTGTATTTCATTTACTGCCAAGTGTTCAATGCCTGCATTGACTATAAAAAATTAATTTTCTTAATGAACTTTTCTTCCCAGCTCTGTATTCTTTAATTCCCTTAACATCCTTATTTTCTGCATTTAATAATCTCCTTCCAAATGGGCTGTCTGATATGACACGTGAACGCCGAGTGGAAGACAGAGATGGCTGTCAGTCCCACAGGAGATCAGTGCCAACCTAAAACGCAGGGTTGTTTTATTCTTCTGGCAGCCTCTAGTCTTGCCCATCTCTCGCAGTCTTACCCGTCCTATTCACAACAGTATCAGTCACTGCACAACCCTGCTTCACTGTGATAAGGCTTGTCTACCTGTTTTCTTATGCACTGCCTTGTCTCCCGTCTTCTTGGTCTCTCAGTGCTCCTGTTCCTTTCAGCTTCAGCCTTCCCTGCCATGTTTGCCCCTTACCCAGGTCACCCTCCACAGCTGCCTTGTCCCTTTGTGGTCCCTGTGCTTCGCCAGCTGTTCTTCCTGCTGGGCAACTGAGAGATGGACAGGGGACCAGCAAAGGATGGCCAAACTCCAGCACATCGTGACCCAGCAGCTGCTAATCATCGAGAACCTCTGTCAGTGTCAGCTCCCTTGGGGACCTCCAGGACCTGCATGCCCAAGCCTTCCCTCATTTTCCAGCAGCCCCATGGCTCCCCTTTGGACGAATGCTCCCCTAAGCTAGAGAAGGCTTGAGCCACTGGGGGCTCCAAGCAGCTAGAACATTCCTCAGTTTCTTATTGCTAGGGCACAGGGAAATGATCTTCTGAATTTCCCTGCTTAGTGGAAACTCTTTCGCTCGTACCATCACAATGGACCCTGGTAAAATTACCCTAGCTTGGAGTACACACTAATTAATCTTTCGGAAGTTGTGAATATAGAGAAAGGGTATCTGCAACAGAGATACCACTTTTATTTCACTTAGACAAAACTGTCAATAACTCAGTTTTTGAACCTAAATTAATTTAAGCAGTAATAAATCTTCCAAGGCAAGGTTGACCATAGTGAAATAAAATTGTTTCCATTCCAGATCATCATTAAGTCTACTACTAATGAGGTGCACTATCAGTGCATACTGCACTGATAATAACCCCATCAAATAAAATTTCCTGCTCGCTTTTTAAGAAGCAGAGCAACCTTCACTACTTTGAGTTGCAGGAACAACAATGTATTAGGTCTTTCTGTATCCAGCCAGGATGTAAACCTCCCTCAGATTATGCAGGTTGGCCAGTTCCAGTAGACAGGCCAAGAAGAGCAGTGCTGGGGTCTGTTTGGAGATTTGACTGGCTCACAGAGACAAGCCTGGTCTGCATGAGATTGTGAGGCCCAAAGTCTCACTGAGCTCATCTTCTGTCTGCCATATTTCTGTGTACTCCTCAACACAGTATCTAAGCAGCCTCTGTATTTTGCCTTTCTTCAGTTCTCGAGGCTGTGGATCCCACATTTTCCGTTAGCATGAAATTCACACAAAAATGCAATGCTTTTTGTTTTGTGTTTGATTTCTGGAACACTGACTGTGCATCCTGCTATTCTGTAAGATGAAATACAAGTATTCACCACAAATGACTGCAGCAGCTAGGCTGTGTGTCATGTTGCACAACCATAAGCTGTTGATATTAAAGTGGGAAAAGGAAATGCAGTTGAGATCTATTTTGCACTGATCACAGCAAGACTGCAATAATTCACAGACATTGTGCTTACTCCAGTAGTCTGCATGGATGGATGTCCAGAAAGAATAAGAATCTGCAACATATTTGACAAGAAAGAGGAAAAATGCAATGCAAAACTCATGGTGCACTTCATTTTAATACCTGTATTTCAAGCAAAACTAATACCTCTTACTTCTGTTATGACTGCAGTCTTCCTTCCTTATTTGTCTAGACCATATCAAGCTCTGCCTTTTGCATTTTTCTGTCTCCTATTGTCACAGCCTTTTGTATTTTAGATATTCATATTGTGTGAGATATTTCAAGAGAAAGCGCTTACATGTTAAAAAAAAAAAAAGAAAATGCACCTCCTAAAATGGCAATTAGAAAGAATTTTAAAAGGCCAAGGTATAGAATTTTTGGGAACTTTGCACTCTGCTATAAAATGGAGTGATGCGTTCCTAGGCTAAAATAACCTCGGGTCTTAGATGTGAAAGTACTCTCATTCAAAGACATGTAGCTACACTCTGTGGCAGATGGGCAAATAACATAAATTTATTATTATTTTTCTTATAATTCCAGAAAATTCTTTCACTCCTTTAATCTAAAATAATGTTGTAAATGTCATCGTCAGGGAATACTTTTTTGTTAGATTAGAAACCGAAAATGTGTTACTCTTAACACACTTATCACTGGGGAAACATTTCTGACAGATGAAAGGAGGGGTGAAAGAGCTTCTAAGTAAGGCCTTCTGCCAGGCAACTGTAAGCTAAAACTACTTTGCCAATTTAATGCCCAATTTTTTAACAGGCTTCTCTCGTCAGCAATGCAGTTACCAGGAAAATGTGTAGAAATATGTATGTATATGCAATAAATGTTTTTTTTCTAGAAAAACATATTTCAGCTGTTATTGTTGGAAAATCTAGGCCTGTTTTGATAAACCTATATACTGCAGCTAATAAGCATAATCTGTGACTCAAACACTTTTTCTCTAGAGTAGAAACACAGGCTCTTATTATTGAAGCTAGCTGGGCTTACAGTGACTCATTAAAAAGTTCTGCTTTTTCTTTCTGTGAGCTAGACTTCTACATGAATGCGAAGATCTTGCATTCTTCTTCTGTTGCAGATCTGTGCACATGCAGCTACCTTTTTTCGGGTGACTGGAAGTCAGTGGCAAGAATATGTCCTTTCTGTATCCATTCAGATAACACATGAAATCATTATTTTCATTCCTTCCTTACTCGATTTGCTTCTATTATTTTAAACTTTTTAAGGATGACTAGTAATTTCTTTCAGATGAGATTCTTAAGCAGTTACAGGAATCCCAGCCTTGAGAGATTATTGCTTTAGGAGCTTTAAGGATTCTAAATTAATTTTGAATATATTATCTGTAGTATTTATTATATCACTGGAGGGGCACAGTTGCAAAACTGTAATAGCAACAGAAAGGCAATCAAATATGAATGAGTGCAAAGTAAAGAAATGAGAAAAGGTTTCGTTTATTTTCATATCTCACAGCATCTTATACTTGGCTTGCATTTCAGTTTCTTAGTCCACTCATCGTTATTTATTATTTCATTTTCAGATGAACCCTGAACATTTGATTTTAGGCATTGCTCATTTGAAATTGCAATCCAAAATAGGTTATGATAGTGTTGTAAGCCAAGTGAATTGTATCTGTCATTTGTCTAGACAGCCAGTTCAGAGTGCAAAATGATGCAAATAGGCTGGATGAGTTTCCAGAGTAAAATTAATTCAAAGGATTTGAAATCATGACAGAATAACTGAAATATGGATCTTGCATCCTACATGGCTTCTGTAAAGTAATTAATACTTCTAATTATAAGTCTTTAAAGTTTACAGAGGAATTTGTGGTTGCTTTCATGAATCATTCCCGTGCTATAAATACCTTCATATGTATGCACATACAGACTTAATGTAATACTGAATGCTGTGCTATAAAGCCTGAGATGCTACTGTGACTTCCTAGCAAAGCCAAGAGGTGGGCAGAAGCTCTGGGTCTGATTTTTGGGACCCATACCTTAAGGACATTTGAATCTCAGATTTTATTCAGCTCCTTATTTAAAAGGAAAATCAGGTGAGCTTGACACTGGATCAGCTTTATGAGCCCTGCAGACTCCACACACCTGGCTATGTCAGAGTCTGAAGGCTTCCTTGGGGGAGAATGGGAGTGTTGGGAGCATCAGGCTCACAAGGCTTCTGCCAGGAAAAAAAAAACAACAGCTTTAAAATTAGGCTTGAGCTCTACAGGAATCCCAACTGCAGAGACTGCTCAAGAAAAGCAGAAGATTGAATAGATCCTTTTCTGGACCAGGCATACTTTTTTTTTAATCCTTTGCCAACAGCCTCCAGCCCCTGTTAGGAAAACTGGAACATCACCACATCCTCAGCCAGGCAGATTTACCGGCGGAGGGGCTTCCGTGTGGGGCTGGGCATGAATCCAGCCCTGTGTTCCACGGGCCACTCTGCGAATGGCTGCAGCAAGCCAGCCCAGATCCTCTCACTGTATCTGCATGCAATAGACAGCCTAGGGACAAGGTCACGGCTTTGTTTTTCTATCTACAAGAGTATTGGATGGCTCGTTTTCTTCTGTCTTAAGGCAACATGAAAGAAAAACAGAACTATTTATTCTGCCATTCCACAAGTATAGTGAATAACGTTGAAATATTTTGTCCATTGGTCTTGAAACTTGGACTTGATTGTCATAAATATCAGCTTTGCTGGCAATATTTATATTGCCATATAAATGGCAAGGTATGTTTCTTTCATGGAACAGTAATCCTCTGGTCTAATTTCCTTGTTTGCTTTGGCTTTGGAAAGGCTCAGATACATTTTTTTAAATATTCTGGGGCCACCTGAAGCACTGTTGTATATGATGAGCATTTAAAACATGTTGACACCAAGACCTCACCTTCGCATGTGCTCTTGCCTTTTATGTCTCATATCAGAGTTAAGCGTTCAGGGAGCTTTCCCATCTTCTAAATGATGGACATGACTAAGATACCTATCATGCCACTGTGCAAGAAAAGATCGGCCAAAGACAAAGGCTCTACAAAATATTTTCAGGTTTTCTTTTAGAGCAAAAGAAAGGGGCAGGCAGAATTTCACACCACTGTGAGAAAACAGAAGGCCAAAAGCTACACAGTAAGATAAGGTGAGGGCAGGTAGATCCACCAGTGGCAGAACATGCCAGAACTGTGCCTACAGCTTGGGGTGGGTGGGAAACGATATCTGGCAGGATGATGATGGGCAGCTGAAGGTGGAGGAGAAAGCACAGAATTCAGACCTTGCCCTTCCCACCATTTTAAGGTGATTTCCACTGCCTGTTCAGCTGTGTTGACTATCTTATTGTACTTCTCCTTCAGCCTGGGTATTTAAACCCTTTCGTGCTGGGTGGTGTCCAGGCATCAGGGAACGGTGTTTATTAACATACTCTCCCCAGACTACACAGGTTGTTTCAATCGATAGACATGATTCATGTTCCCTAGCTAAGCTGATGCTGCTGAAATGAGCCTCCTGCCCTGCGGGCGGTGTGGTTCTATCAGTGGTCACAACCAAAGTTGTGGAAGGCAGTCAGTCTCAAGCAGGTTCAGGAACGCAGGCCAAATAAGACAGCTGTCCACCTTGTCCTGGGGTGCACTGATTTCTGCACGGCACATGCAGGCAAGCTAATATAGTGTGCTTGCAATGGGGGCAAATACTGCCATCAGCCATAACAAAACTGAATGGTCTGTTTATATGTAGCCCGGTTTTAATATAGGGAAGGCAGACCATTCCTATATAATTGGGCCCACCTTTTTGTCAGTTGGAAAAGATGTATTTCATTTAGGCATAATATTTTCATTTTTGAAGCTCGAATTTCTATGTGTTTTCTGTATTATTTTCTCTTTTTGACCTGGTGCTGGAAAACAAAGAGAAGAAATGAAAATGACACATTATTTTTAGTGTCACAGATTTTAACTCTCTCCATTTTGTATTAAAAAAAAAGATGCCCACCAAATATAAATTCTGATATATTCTGATTGCCAGAAAATTAAAACATTAAAATAACCAATGTGGGAACCACAAAGGCAAACTAATCCTGCAGTTCTTCTCATAGGAAGAAGGGGATGGCTGCATTTTCCCAGACTAAAGTCCCTCTAAGTCAGGGTCCTGCCTCAGATTGGATTTGCTGGAACAATTTAACATTTTTGGAGAGAAATGTTGTAGAAACTTACTTCAGGCTCATACATAAAAATACTGGTGCTTTTTCTGCCACAGGAGCTGAGCCCAGCGATAGCCTGTACATCAGCAGTCTTCATCTGTTTCTTTCTAGGCAGTCTTGCCATCCTTTTTTCATCTGTTTAACCTTGAGCTTCTACTTTGTTTCTAGAAGGTACAAAACAGGTTTTCAAAAGACGCAGGGTTCACAATCCTTAAGCCTATTACTGTCACCAGAAGAAAGCGTAGGTTGAATAGTATTGAGCTGACCTACATTCTTCTGTGGCTTCAGAGCAAAGTACTTAGTCTTTTCTTCAAGTGTTGCTATGCAATGCTGGTGGCACTGCAGTAGTGGTTTCATTTGTGTGTGCTAGACGTGTTAAACGTACTCTCTGGCTGCTGTGGAAGAAATGACAAGGGAACTCACAGGTTTGTCTAAATTTGATTCAAGAGAGAAATTACTGGAACAATGAAGGACTCTGGGAAAGCCTAAAAGCATCAAAAATTGAGAAATAGAAAAATTGTGGAGGAAGAAACATAGCTCCTACTCTGGTCAGAAAAGGCTAATTGTTTCCTCAGCTCAGCTTTGTTTAGCAAGAGGCACTCTGACCTGGCTGTTGCACAAAGCTGTGTTTTTGAAGAGCTGAGGTAGCTTTGCACTTAGCTACAAGTGGAGTTCAATTTAACAGAATTGCTGGGGTATAAATGCTGCACCAGTGTTCACCCGGATGAATTCAGAGCTGCGCAGCTGTAAAGTCACAGACCTTCCACTGTTAGCAAGTAACAGACGGCAGTAAAGCTAGAAATTGTCAAAATGCCTCAGACGGGCTGCTTTGCCTTTGGCAAATGCTGATCTGCTGATATCAGAAGTTCCCTTGAGATCATTTCAATTTCAGTGTTGTGGTTTTCGTATTTGTTTTTTTTTTTGTTGTTTAAAAAAGTGGAAGAAGGGTAATAACAGGCAAATGTATACTAAAAATCAAGGCAAAAGAAGAAGAATTATTCTGACTGATCCAAAATGATCTTTAATTTGAATCATATCAGATATTTAAAAATGCATGTGTAATTTTTAAAATAGAATACTTTCTGTGATTTCTGTGATTTTAAATGAAATGTAGAATTGTATTCAAAGTTGCAATGAAAGCTAATAATTAGAAAATGTGATTTTTAAAAAATAAAAATTCAATTTCGGCAGGGCTTTAAATACAGTCATTTAGCTGACGCAAGAAGATTTATCTTCTACCTCATATGTCAAACTTTGCAATATAGAAACGAAACACTACATCCTCAGTGGTCACGGATTAGGACCATCAGAAGCCATGTGGGAGGTTCTGTTCTCTGTTACTCAAACTGTGCCTTGGCAGGAAAGGCCTGTTCCATAAGACCAGCAGTGCTTTCATGTAAAAGGTCAAAAATCACTTTGGAAGAGAAACATGCTGCATAAAATAGTATTTTTTCCCCAGTTCTCACCAAACATTTGGCTCAGTAACATGAGAGGCTTGTGCTATCTTTCTTTTCAGAGCCTGTTGAATGATTCAGCCTGAGCGCAGAGAAGAATATTAGGACTGTGTAGGATTTTAAACCAACTGTTTAGAAGGGAGAAGATTTCTAACAAGTAACGCTTACTTAAGCTTCTGAACAGAGACCTGGCCTGACACCAGGACATTTGGAATGGATTTCTTCAAATAGATTTGGGATCCCCACATGAGATGTGTGGCCTGGTAAAGCGTAAGGTTTCCTTATGCGCAGTTAGAGTACTGTATGCTTAATGTTGGCAAATTCTGCAGTGGGGAATGCTTGTGTTATTAAGGATGACTTTCTACAGCTGTACAGTTCTCTGGTAGCTTTCAGAATCCTAGCATTTGCCAGCTTACTGTGTATCTATCTGGTTACTGATATTCATTACAAAGTTGCAGAGTATTTGAGGAACTGTAAATCTCCCAAACGAAACTACTCTTCTGTTATATAGCTGAAGTTCTGTATTGTGGGAATGCTTTCGGTGACAAATGCTGGATTTCCAGCAGACAGGTTAAAGAAAATGAGTCAAGAATCTAAGGCCGTAGTGGTCCTGTCTCTCTTCATGAAACATGCTGTCCTTTGAAAGTTCCTGCTTGCATTAGGTGTTATCACCTTTGCGAATGAGGGGAAAGCATCAATTCAACAAAACACAGAACTAAAGCCGCTACTTATTACTATTCTTCCTGTGCACCTTTATCTTGCATGGCTGGTGATAGGCTTGAAAACGTCAGGAAGACTAGAAAAACATAATGGATATAACAGAAGGCTCAGCAGCAGCTTCAGAATCCACAGCCTGTTTGTTACATGATTAGTCTTGAATGAATTAAATTTAAGTGACCCTTGAGTTTTTGACATGGAGTCTACCTACATACCTTTCTGATGATCACAGGTGGTATAGTCATCTTCGGTTGTCCCAAATAACTCTGTCCAAGACATCAGGGGATCACAAACCATTGTGTCTGACAGAAACGTGCTCTGGGTTACTGACTCCAGCATCACCTTAAGATATTAATGCATTAGTTGAAGGTGAAAAGGTAATATTAATGACTGAAGTTATAAGGCTACAGGCATTAATCCCTTGCTGTGTAGGTACAGATCTATGAGGTACCATTGCCCACCATCACCTAAACCTCGACAGAAGCTAATGATGATCTTCTGAAAACTGCAGTGAAGGAAGGAACTGAGAAATTCAGGAACAATGCAGCTGATGAATATACCATAGGTAGATTTACAGTAACAATTACTGTCATGATACATTCCTAGGAACTTGATAATGCAATTTATATATATAAACATAAAAATGAGGAATAAACCATTAAATAATTAGAAACATGTAGATGAGATGAACATTATGGTTAAATGACATCATTGGTAACAAATTTTGAGCAAGTCCCCATACAAACATATGAGAAAATATCATTCTGGCCATAAGGATAGTCACTTTGTCTGTAAGACACTGCCACAGATGTCAGCCAGTCCAGAGTGTGAGGAGATTATCAAAGTCTAAGAAAAATATATGTTTTCAAAAGAGATTAGAAACTGAGAATTTATGCAGAAAACTAGCTGTATCCTTTAGGGGAGAAAGTTCTTGCACCAAAAGTGAGATGACTGAAGAACTGAAGTAGCTGAGAACAGAAGCAGTTGAGAACTGGTGATATTTCAGTGGAACTGGTGATATTTCAGTGAAAGAAACGAGTGGCTAAGGAAAACATGACCTATGATATGAACTAAAGCAGGTAAAGAAGAGAGTTTTTGCCCACCCACTTCTCGTATACATGTATCACATATGTACACATGCATGGATTTCTCTGTTCTTTGTGATGAAGACTCACTATGCTTGAGGCCCTAGACCTGCCATATGAAATTTAGTAGAAATGGTAATGGTTTAGGAAACTTGAAGGAAAGACTTAAGCAGAATTTAAACACATGATTTTTCATGTTCTAGTTCACTTCGGCTTCTCTGTTTGGGAGAAACTGGAAATGTTCCATGGACTAACTGCTGTGAATGCATAAATGGACCTGATTATGGCTTTTGCCTTTCGGACTTCACGGAAAAATGCTCAAGCCAGTTTTGGATCTTTTCTTCAGACCTAGGCTGCTTCTGCCTTTCATAACTAATTCCAACTTGGGTAATTTCTAACTGAAACAAACCTGAGATGGTTAGTAGGGTAATATGATCTTAAAGATCAATATGTAGTCTGAAATTATTGCAGAGTCGAGAATTGTCCAAATAGCTGTATATACTGAGGAAACGTGGAGGATTCAGAAGTTTTCATGGATAGACCACAGAATTGAAAGAAAACACTGATCTTAGTCTAAATAAAGCAATGATGACGTATGGAACACGGAAACATTTGGGAGGCTCCTCAAAGCCTTTGATATACAGGAATTCATATCTAGAACAAGGCAATATTTCAAGGACATCACATATCCATCTAATCATACCATTATGAATGGAACATGTGAGAATGTACCCTAATAATAATTTTAGTCAATATGATCAAAAAGTTTATTCTCTATGCATTTTGCCAAAGGATTTATTGTAGAATACCTCATACATGTATATGTGTGTAACTGTGCTTTTGGAGGAACACTGTATATTCAGTGAGCAATATAGAATTTTACAGATTTCATACAAAGTGATCCATATCATGCACTTTGGGGACATAGAAAGAGAAAGCGGCAGGCAGCATTTTAAACACAGGAGAGCCTTACACCTCTTGGTTTTACTCCAGCTAGTGCTGTGTTCAAAGAAGCTATTAATTAGCTGCTACACTACAATCTCTTTTGATTTAGTCAGACAGGCCTAGATTTCTAATTTATTAAAAAGTATTTGTTGGAGATCATGCTTGTCTCTGCCATTAATTCATTAAATCAATGCCAGCTGCTTATCATTGAGCAAACTGGTGATGCAGAAATGACAATGACAGGCATCCACCAATTGGGTGCCTGACAAAATGATCACAGTAAAACCACTTTGACAGCCTACAGCTCTTTTAAAAACAGTGACTTCAATAAAGGAATAGAGCTTACTTGTAGGTAGGTGATTACTCCTGGTGCAGCGGTTAAGTCCAGAAGCAGGTCTTGGGAGCAAAGGGAGCAGGAGGCTTTAACTGCAGCACAGACCGGCACTTTGGAAAGAAAGCCACCTGCAGGACTGTGATATACAGAACACCTTACAGACAGGTTCGTTTGGTTTTTCAAGTTCTTATACACACCCCTTTTGATGACAGCGATAATATATAGCATAACATAGCCCAGGGACTGGGGGAGAAACATTCTCAAGTGTGGAAAGTTTAACCCATATAGCTTTTTTCTCTTTCTCTAAATAGTGTGGACTTACGTAGGCACGACTCTTTGACCACGTTAGCCAAACCTGATAAGTTTAAGCACTTGAACTAAGGAGACTCCCACTCTTTCATTCACGACCTTAGCATGTAAGAAGGGCTATTGCATATTGTTCAGAGCTCTCCAAGCCCAGGACGTGTCATTCTCACCATTTGCATCTGGCAAAGAACAGGATGCGGAAAAGTGACTGGCTTAAAGTCATGCAGCAAACCACTGCGGGTGTTTGTTAGAGGAAGGACAGTGCTCACCTGACGTCAGGTGACATCTCTGGCCGAGCACAGTGCGTCTGAGATCCACAAAAATCTGCTGGGTTCTAGCCCAGATGTAGCCACCTTCAGGTCTGAAATGACTGTGAAGTGATACGAATGTTCATGGATAGGATGCTTGGCATGATTAGAAGCAACAAATCAGAGACACCAGTGGAGAGAATGAATTGGAGAATGAAATGAGCACATCTAACATAAAATGATACTTCTTTTTAATATAAATTAGGAAGAGTCTTGGTCAGCCTAGATCAAAATATTTTTGTGCCCCAAAGGTCCATGTTAATTTGTAGTCTCTTGAGGATACCTGCATAAATAGCAAGAGTTAAAAATTTAGGCACATACAACACCACAGTTCTCCTGAGACATACTACTTCTACTGCTGAAAACACCACGCCTTTAATATGTTTTAGCTGGGCTTTGTACTAAGGTTTTCCTCTCTTCAAAAATTTCTCAACAAGAATTGTCATTTGGGATGCGGGGAGACAGGGGGAAGGAGGAGTGATTAAATGGGACAAATAACAGAGGCAGAAGCTTGCAGGAACCCTTTGGTTTAGTCTTCTGCTTTTCTTTTATGCTCTTGCTTCAGTTGAAAGCATTTATTTGCTTCATTACTGTGGTGTCAGAGAGCCTCTTGAGCTTCATCATGCTGCCTGAGTGGTGCCGCACCGCATGACTGCGGGGAGGGAGAAGCGACTCTGATGTAACGTAATGCTGTTGCATGGTGTGGATACACAGAGGAGTGACTCAGAGGGAGTGCCACGTTCTGCCTCCCCAGCATGATACAGGCCATGCAAGACACTGCTAACGAGGCTAGTAGGGGGCCAGGCAGGCGCAGTGACCTGGCTAGCCATTTCAGAGCAGCACGTTGCACCGGGACACTTACCTGCAGCTGCACAGGATAATGTCTGACAGACGCGACTGAGGCTTCGTCTGTGGGCTCCCATGTGGCAAAGCCTTAACCCCAGATGACTCCCTCCTTCTTTCTCCCCACTGCGCTCTCCTTGCTTTCCTTTAACTAACTAAATTATCTCTGTCCTCCTTATTTATTTTTTATTTTTCTCTGCTTACCTTTCTTCTATCTTTCTCTTGCTATATTTCTTTCAAAATGGCAGAATGATGGAGTTTTTTCTTCTATCAATGAGGAAAATACATATACGTTGTGGCATCTCCGTTGCAAGCAGATCTTCTCAAAAACCCTGTCCACCGTGTGTGAGGCCAAACAAATGAATTTGTGCAATAGTTTATCACTTTGTCCAAAGCAACAGTCTGATTGCCTGCAATGTGGCTTTTGCACTGATAAAGCAGAGTACAGACTGTGAGATCACCCAGACAGGAAGTTCTTGGTAACCTTGTAAACATCAATAACTGTTCAAATAAGGAGTAACAGTTATTATACAGAAGGGATCTCAAAGGCTATGTAAACACAATGTGATAGGTGTAGCCCTAAGAAATGAGTCACAAAAAAACATTGCCTCTCCTTTATCTCCCACTCAATGAAGATACTTAAAGAAAGTTCTCAGTTCTCAAGGATATGGAAAAAGACTTCTCTTTCTATGCAGTCTTGTTGCACTTGTGAATTCACAAGGTAGCACTGGTCTGTGCTGTGAACTTTGTCTCGCACAGAAGTGCCTGAGCCTTGGTACTCAGCTCAGGAACAAAGACAAGTTTAAATAAGATTGACTGAGCTCTCGAGTAGCAGGAAGAAGTTGTTATTGGATTAGCCCGTGACACCATCTTTCACAGTTCTTAATAAAAGTGCCAATCACAGAGCTTTGCAGACAGACTGGAGAAGTATTGTTGATGAGTGCAAATGGACCCTAAACATTTCCACAGTGAGATGTTTCTGACTCAAAAGCACCTCAGATTTCAACTGGCTGAAGTAAACTTTTTTCACAGTGTAGGTTGACCTAATGTTTCCTCAGTTGATAGCCCATTTTTATTTTTTATCTCTCACAATCATCGGAGTGACTCCAAAGAGACTTTGACTTATATTTCATGGTCTGGAAAGTGTGGCAGTGATAATACCATAAATATTAATCTATATTTTTCTTTCAGCTACAGCAGCAGAAACTTAATTAATACTGTTTCCTCCACTCGCTCTGAACTGATCAACACCAAAAAACACAGAGTCAACTGTCGTGTCATAAGGGAGCATGTGATGAACACACTTCTGTGTAGCATGATCAAACAGTGTGCGTCTTGGGCAATACATCTCCCAGGCACTGCAGCCCATCCCAGTGAGCTCTGAATTGCCTCTAGCAAAGAGCCAGTGTTTTCCTTTCAAAGCATCAGTCAAAATGGCAGTAAAAACATGAAAGACCAATGAACTACCAAATATCAGTGAAAAAGCCCTTATCAGTGAGCTCTTCTCAGTGTATCTGA